GGGGAGGGAGAGAGAGAGAAGAGGAAGAGGAAGGGAGAGCGGGAGGGATTCCGAGAAAAAGACAACGATGGGGAGTGATTTTGCCGTATGTCGTTTCTTGGGGGCAGAGAGATTGACCGCTGTCAGGGCGATATGGCGCTGGATCTTGAAAGTTGGTTCTGGCAGCAAGACGATAGAAGGTGTGAAGGTCCTTACGCGGCGTGTCGATGGGACGGGAACAGGAGCGGGAAGTTGCAGCGTGGGGGGTAGGAAAGAAACAAACAGATGGGACAGACGGGACTGAGATGGGAGGTGGGAAATCAGGAAATCGGGAGGGGCAGCGCAGAGCAGAAACGGGGGAAACCGGGGGACTGGAGAGAATGGTCTGAGGGGGAAGAGAGGGAAGAGACCTGCCGTGGAGCAGGCTGGGCCTGTTTTTGCCTACACCTGTGCCTGGGACTGACAAGGTCTGTGCCTGGACCCAAACCCAAAAGAAAAAGAAAAAAAACGTCACGGTCTGTGCCTGGGCCCAGACCCTAAAAAAAAAACCGTCACAGTCTGTGCGTGGGCCCGAGCCCAATACGGGTCTTGTCCTGGGTCCAACCGTCAAAGACAATGTTTTATACTGTTCTGAAACATTGAGTTTGACATCTGTTCCACCTCGGTCTGAAAAATAAAACTGTACCTGAGGCCGGGCCCAATATGGGCCTTTTCCTAGGTCCACACCCAAGTCAAAGGCCAATCCACTAGTATAAGATGGCTGACCTTGACCGAGGTCATCAACGGAAGTCAAAGTATGGCCTCCTGCTGATGACCTTGCGACTAAGTTGTGGCCCCCATAGTGTCTCCCTCTCTCTCTCTCTCTCTCTCTCTCTCTCTCTCTCTCTCTCTCTCTCTCTCTCTCTCTCTCTCTCTCTCTTTCAGTCCCGCGCCGGCCTTTATGGCCCACTCCTTTGAACCTTGGGAGAGGAAGATGGTGGACTATGACGACATGTCATCATCCTCCTCTGATGAATGGTGGGTCGAACCTCCACGTCCGCGACGAAGGCGCACTTGGAAGAGGAGAAGGACACTATCTCCTGAGAGCAAGAGACTGATGGAGGAGGATGAGAAGGACCTCCAGGACCTCATCGTCTTCCTCCGGCAGATACGCGAGGAGGAAGAAGCCACGAAGACGACAGTCGCCGCATCAGCCACCGCATCCGGCTCTCAAACGAACCCTTCGCAAGAAAAGGAGAGGGAGAGACGAACAGAAGGAGAGAGAGAGACAGAGAGAGAAAGAAGGCGAGAAAGAGAGGGAGAGTGAAGTGCGAAGCTGGCCGGAGCTGCTATCAATCGATCAATCGATCGGTAACGTGGCAGTATTGGCAACGCAACAGTGCTGAGGTGGCGGGCTGACGTGGCAGCCTGAAATGCCAGCGCGACGTGGCAACGCAAAGTGGCAGCAGTGACGTGGCAGGGTCAACAGCGCGCCAGCGCTGAGGTGGCAGCGCGACATGCCAGTGCAACGTGGCAGCGCAAGAAGGTCACCACCGAGAGAGCATGGGCGCCACGTCATCCACGCGGGAGACACAAAGAGAGAGAGAGAGAGAGAGAGAGAGAGAGAGAGAGAGAGAGAGAGAGAGAGAGAGAGAGAGAGAGAGAGAGAGAGAGAGAGAGAG